GGCTGGCGCCTCGGCGTTTGGCAAGAATGTGCTGCCACGTATCGCCGCCAAGCTGGACGTATCGCCCATTTCCGAGATTATCGATGTCAAGTCGGAAGACACATTTGTGCGCACCATTTATGCAGGCAATGCGATACTTACATTCAAATCCAAGGATGCCGTCAAGGTGATTACAGTTCGTGGTACGAGCTTCCCACCAGCTGCCACTAGCGGCGGCAATGGTGCCGTGGAACAAGCGCCAGCCGGCGACTATGCCAGCAGCCTGACCGAATTTGTGTCCCAGGAACTCACCAAGTCGGATCGCCCTGAGCTGGCGGGTGCCAAGGTTATTATCTCTGGCGGACGTGGACTTAAGTCCGGTGACAATTTCAAGCTGCTCTACGATCTGGCTGACAAGTTTGGCGCTGCTGTCGGCGCCTCACGTGCCGCTGTCGACGCTGGCTTTGTGCCCAACGATCTGCAAATTGGCCAGACGGGCAAAATTGTGGCGCCCGATCTATACATAGCTGTGGGCATTTCCGGTGCCATTCAGCACTTGGCCGGCATGAAGGATTCCAAAACGATTGTGGCCATCAACAAGGACCCCGAGGCGCCCATTTTCCAGGTGGCCGATATTGGTCTAGTGGCGGATCTGTTCAAGGCTGTGCCCGAGCTAACTGGCAAATTGTAAAGAATGTGTAGTTGTATAAAGCTAATTGATTCTATCAAATTTAAGATTTGAATTGTGCATTTATTTGAGATTAGTGTCTACGCAACTGTCCGCCCGTCGCTTTCCGGCTGTGCGCTATCATAAATGTTTACTTTTCCTTTTTTGTAATAAAAACTAAGCTGAACGTCCGAATATTTTTTGTTGTTTTTTGTTGCGTGTTGTGTCTGCGCTTAGAAAGTAAACGCTCTTATCATTTCGACAGATTGTGCAACTAATATGTCGCGTGTTATTCTAGAAGATCATTATGACGTGTTATCAGCAAATACTTATGTTAATTAGCGGAAATATGCTGTGAGAAGCATATGTTAACAGTGGTCAGGGCTGTTATGTTTTGTGACGACAGAAACTGTAAATGTAACCGCAAACTGGAAATGTGAAAGCGACAGACAAAATTTGCAACGATTTACGGCATATAAACACTTCAGGCCTTATCTGTGTCTGGGATATTTTTGAGAGCATGCCATATACTACTAGACTGCCGCCATATCTACGGTATGCATAACACTAGCAGCCGAGTCTAATCCATTATTCTTATCATTGCAATTAATTTAGTTTCTACCGCCTATCGGATGTCATTCCTTCATGATTTGATGTCTGTCAACAACAATCAAATATTTAATTATTCCCCACACATTTGTTTAATTAAATCCCATTGAGCTTTCCGAGTTAGCACCTTAACATTACGCATGCGGACTTTTAAGCGGCTAGTAAATATGGGTGTTTGAATGTAAACACAGATGCAACAGATTTTTTCTACATATAGTAAATTTCTTATTTGAGGCGTTCATAATTTCCAGCTGATAATTGTACAATAAAGTATGCTAATAAACTGAAATGACACAATGACTTTGTGCCTGCGATTCAGTGAAACAAGAAAATCTTTCCAGCGAAAGGAAAAATTGAAAGCTGCGATCACGAGTGAGTGCCAGAGAAAGAGAGAGAAAATAGAGCACTTGCTATAAGCTTATCAAACAGCAGAGGGCAAGTAAATAAGGAACTGAATCAACTGCAACTGAATTGAGCAGCAGCGCTCAATGCATATTTTGTTGTGTGACAGCACTTTCATTCACGCCGACGCCGACGCCAACGCCAACGCCGACGCAGACGTTGACGTGAACGACTCTGTTATGTGATTGAGCGTCAAGTATTTACAGCAGGGAGATTCTGTTGAGTCGACTTGGTAATGCGCTGCGATTTATTTTAAAGCTAAAAGATTTTATAAATAATTTAAAAATGAAAATAATATTAAAAAATAATAATAATGAATTATAAAATATTAATAGAGAAGCCGCGCAATATATTAAATAAGATCTCATCTAGTTGAATAAGTTATAATAAATAAATAAAATTAAACAGCAAATGGCTGGGTTCAGATATCTAGCTTCATATTCTTTGAATAATATTAAATTTCTAGAGTAAAATATAATTTGTATATAGCATAGATTTCAGACTGAGACTCTCGCATGCTTGTTGCAAACGCAATCTGTTAACTAAGCATGCCCACAGAACAGGTCGCACGGTATCGCCTAGCGACATATGCTCGGGTCTGTGAACGCTGGAACAAATGTAAGCGCTGGCCGGCTGAGCTAGTCACTTATCACTCGGCGAGCTGGAGAGACACATTGGGCAAGACTCTCGAAGCTACGTGCAACAGTTTCAACTGCAGTGAAGAGAAATAAATCCGTAAAGAAATAAAATGTACAAGACGCCAATGCACGAGCTGCGTCGCGTGTGCGTCATTGGAGGTATGGAATTGAATGCTAAAAGAACTTTATGAATGTTGAGAAACTTGTGGAAACTATTTTGGTATTTTAGCCGGCACAGCGGGATTGAGCGCCCTGAAGAATGCACTCGAGGAGGGTCTGGAAGCGGTAGCCTACGAGCAGGACTCCGAAATCGGTGGCACTTGGGTGTTCTCGGAGGAGATGCCCAAGGATGAGAACGACGAGGTGCACAGCAGCATGTACGAGGGCTTGCGGTAGGTTTAAACAAGCAGAAAATCATACATACTATAGACTATATACAATACTAAACTATATGAAACCTGGGTGCAGCACTAATTTACCCAAGGAAGTGATGGGCTATCCGGACTACCCATATCCCGCGGAGATTGAAGAGTCTTTTATCACATCGCAGCAGGTTCTGGAATTTCTCCGCTCCTATGCCGATCATTTCAAGCTCCGGCCGCACATCAAACTGCAGCACGAGGTCATGAGGGTGCGTCCCCGTTTACACGATTGGGAGGTGAGTGCTGACGTCTGATACAATCAGCCTTTCATCATGCATTATTCCGAATTAATTATGCAATAATAATTGAATATATTGTTTTTGTTTACATTGCACGATCTTGCCCGGCGATTAAATGCACTTCCCTACAACCTTATTTGAATTGATAAAGGTCTATGTGCGGGATCACATCAACGACACTTGCGAAACGGTCTATTTTGATTTCATCTATGTCTGCAATGGCCACTACACGGAACCGGATATGCCTACAATCGAGGGCATGGATCTGTTCGAGGGTCGGCAAATTCACAGCCATCTATATCGCAAGGCTGAGAAGTTTAAGGGTGAGCTCAAGCGCAGATAACAAATAAATTCAAATCAATTTTCTCTAATAGTTATAAGTTAAGATAAGATTCGATTCCCGTCCTACGCCTGCCAACAGCAACTTCTGTATTTGCTCCATATATTTTTTCCCCCGCTTGATACAAACTATCAGTCGCAAAAACTTTTAGCCTAGTTACAGACGGAATTTCGTTTTCATATTATAAATAATTGAGTCTTATCAAGCACTCAAGATGTTTCGGCTCCGGGTGCTTATTGTCTGACATAATCACAAAATAGTTTTAACTTGTTTCCATACTCAAATTAACTGATAAACTAAAAAGCACTTCAGCACAAAACTTTTCCAGGTTTTATATAGAACAGCGTCTGGGCTAAACACAATGCGTATTATCTGCACGTATTTTGATAAATGATTGTGCAAGGTCTTTGCAAATGAAACATATGTATGTCTCATGGTGAATCAGCTGACCTTTAGGATAAATAAAATATCGTGCTATTTTTATACATATTATATTTTTGAATATTAATCGATGCTTGTTTCGGCAGATGAAAAGGTTTTGGTCATTGGCGCCGGTCCCAGTGGCATGGACATCACGAATCACATTCGCAAGGAGGCCAAGCATGTGTATCTGAGCCATCATCTGACGACCACGCCGAACACCGCTTTTATGGGCAATGTGACACAAAAGCCGGATGTGGAGCGGTTCACCAAAGACGGTGCCATCTTCAAGGATGGCAGTCGGGAAACGTTTGAGCATGTGGTCCATTGCACCGGCTACCAGTACAGTTTTCCGTGCCTGAGCACCGATGTGGGTGTGCAGGTGATCGATAACTTTGTGCAGCCACTGTGGAAGCACTGCATCAACATTAACAATCCGACCATGTCGTTCATTGGACTGCCCTTCAATGTGATACCCACGCACATATTCGACATGCAGGTCCGATTCACCCTCAAGTTCTACACGGGCAAGCGGGAGCTGCCCACACGGGAGCAGATGATTGCCGACTTGGAGAAGGAGCAGGGCGAGCGCTGGGAATGCGGTTTCGCCAATCGCAAGAAGGCCCATCAAATGGGCGAGCGCCAGGTGGGCATTGCTTACATGTTATTGAAGTGCCGCTTATGATAATTTATTTATTATATATTTAATATAGTTTGACTATTACAATGAGCTGGCGAATATGACGGGCATTGAAAATATAAAGCCCGTTATTCTGAAGTTGATGAAGGATTGCGGCAAGAAATATATATTTGAATTGGATACCTACCGCAATTATCGCTACAAGGTCATAGATAATGAAAATTTCGGCAAATACCCGCTGTGATGGCATTCAGATTTATATGTATTTTATGTTTATTATGTAGTTTTTGTTGCGCTTAATTATACAAATTGTGAAAATAAATTTACCAATTCTAAACAAAACACAAAACCGATTGAATGACATAGCACGCAGCTTTATGGAGCTGCAGTGTTTGTTTGCCGAGTGGCAGCACTGTTGCTGTTATGTTGTGCTCAAAAAGAACTCTTAACATACGGCCAGCTGTTAAACAGCCCTGTAAAGCCTTCTGTTCAATTTTAAAAAGGTTCCGATTTGTCTGCAATGGAAATAATATAGAAATTAATTGTTTATGTTTCTACATCCACATCTAAACATCTTTTAACAGCTTATTAAAAATTATACGCATATATGTTTGTTGTTTTATGTACATAGTTGTAATAATTTATTCATTCAGTTAAATTCTGATTTTGCCCGCACTATGTGCTACTACAGTTTATTAAAATTAAAATTATAATTTTAATTATGTTTATTTAAGTCAGCACGCACACTTCCATAATATGAGCTAATATTTAATAAGGGCTACTACTATTTCTACTACACTTTTATGTTAATGCCTATTCACTACTTTTTTGCTTTAGCACTGTTGTTGCTGTTCATATTGCACGCTTCCTCTTCGTCCTTGCTGTTATTGTTGCTGCTACTGTTGTTGTTGATGTTATTGTTGTTGCTGCTACTGTTGCTGTTGCTATTGCTGTTGTTATTGTGCGCATCAAATGTTTCCAGCTCCCTCAGCGCAATCTTCTGAAAATCACAATCAATAATCCTTTTACGCTTGCGCAAGGGCCGCGTGCTTTCCGCTGCCGCAGCGCAGTTGCTGCCGCTGCAGCTGCCGCTGCCGCTGCCACCGCCGCTGCCAGCTGTGGGAGATGTGGGCGTGGCCGTCTCTTTGGTTTGGATGAGCGTGCGTTTGGTTTGCAGGCGTGTAATCTTTAGCTTGGGCAGTTTCTGTGTCTCCAGCTCGGCTGAGGCACTATCATTGGCGTCGACTGCCGCCGGCTCCACGTTGTGCACCACGATGCAGTGCGTCGCCTCTTGCGTGGCGTCCGGCGAGTCTGTGGTGGGCGATGTTGCTGGCGACGGTGTCGTTCCAGCTGGCTTTGTCTTTGGTATGGATTTCATCTCTTCCTCCTCCACGTTCTCCTCCAGCTGCGGTTGCTGCTCCTGCTCCGGCTCCTGCTGCTGCTGCTGCTGCTCCTCCTGTTGTTGCTGCTGCTGCTGCTGCTGGTCCGGTTCCAGTTCCTGCTCTGTCTTGGACTTGCTGCAGTCCAGCGGTTGTGGCTGCTCCTCTGCTCTGCTCGTGCTCTGTGCCGCAACGCGTTCCTCATCGTAGCGCTTCCTCTGTTCGGGCGTCAGATACGCCTTGTAGAAGTCCACAATGGGCAATGGCACTGGTATGGGTATGGGCAGCGGTATTATAATTGGATAGGGCACCATCACAGTGACGGGTGGCGCAGCGCCCAGTAGTGCGCCCAGGGCGCCCTGCAACTCCGGCTGCAGCTGTGGCTGCAGCTGCGGCGGCGGCGGCAGTCCGAAGTGTGCGCCAAATCCACGCGGCAGCATGCCCGGCGGTGGCGGCAGGAAGGGATGCGGCGGCGGTGGCGCTGCTCGAGCACCAAATGGATGACCCAGCATGCCGTTGGGCGGCGTGGCAAAGTAACCGCCCGGTATGCCGGTCGGTGGGCGGCCCATTGGCTGTGGCAACTGGGGCGGCGGATGCTGCGGTGGATGCTGTTGATGCTGCGGCTGCGGCTGCTGCTGGTCCGGCATGGGCGACAGCGGGGGCAGCGGCACACTGGAGCCGGCAAAGTCCGCGCTTAACGGCGCCGGCTGCTGTTGCTGCTGCTGTTTCTGCAGCAAACTAGCGACCGTTTCGGAGCCAGCAGCTCCGGCAGCGCGATGCGGACGCTTGCGCCGGCCCGGCTTGGGTCCAGCGTGAACGTGGTGCCGCTGCAGCTGTGGCAGCGGCGGCGGCGGAGCACCAGTTGAAATTGAGGAGCTAGCGGGGCTCTTTTGCGCCGACAATTTGGATATGGGCGCCACTGAGATCAGAGGTTTGTTTGGATGGCTCGGCGGTGTGTTGCAGGGCGAGCTGCGCTTGGAGGCATTCGCAATGCAGACTGCCGCCGGTCCGGGCGACACCGAAATGGTGGACGCAGGCGAGGCAGACCGACTGCGACAGTTGCGCAGCCAGAGATCGGGCGTGATGAGACCCGCTCCGTCGCCAGCGGCGGCAGCCTCCAGACCCTGATCGCGCAGATGCGGATTCATGTCCAGATGCGCCTGCGTCTCGTTGCAGAATATCTGCATCTTGTACTGATTGAGACACTTCTCCGAGCAGAACTGCAGCTGCGAGGCACCATCCTGGAAGTCCACATAGCTGACCGCGTGCCGCACATGCTTGCACCAGTCGCAGGTTTTCGCCTTCTTGAAGGACGCCCGACGGCTCTGCGTGAAACAGGACTCGGAGCAGTAACGCGGTCCATCCGTGCTGGTTAGATAATCCGGCGCATTCTCAGCGATCGGCCGATGGCACCAGCAGCAGTTGTTGTAGTCTGCAACGAGAGAGAGCGAAGAAAACCTTTAAATATGGCATAAGTCAGTCTGTTGAGAAGCGCAGAGAGGGGCAGCTGCAGACAAAAGCAATTAGGTATGCTCTACAGTTCATCTTATTCTCTGTCGCAAGTAATGTTATTTCAAATTTAATGATAAAACCAATGCAATAATATTTCAGTCCGTTCAGCCGCAATGCACATGTTTTTCAATATATAATCCATGTTCATATTAAATTCCTTCGCTTTCTTTTATATATGCTACGAAAACTCTTTTGTTCCCCAGGGTTACGTAGATTCCGATTGCATTGCTAGTTACTATTTCTGTCGTCCATGGTCACATAGTTAATACGCCATCCTCTAGATAAATCTGACGCATAAGAGTTCACTTCGAAAGCCCATCTGTCTGTTTACTTAAGTGCCCGACTTCTTCGCCAAATACATACAATTCTAGCTCTACGCTTTTAAAAGCTTGCGCATACAAATTCTATTCTTACAATTCTCAACCATTTACAGCAAAAAATAACTTCATACATGAAATAGTTTTTTTGTTCCTTCCAGTGCAGAAAATGTGTTCATTAACTTTTGTTTGCATCAAAATTCAAGGCGGTTACCCAATAGGCTGGTCTGGCGCTGACTCTGGCCCTGCCCCTGACACAGCTCCGGACCATTTACAGGCAAATTCCGCAAAATACACTGTTTTCAAAATTTGTAAACCATATTTGGGTCTTAATGAATCCGTTATTTGATAATGCAGCTGCAACAGCCAAAAACTTTGCCAAAATCAGTTGATGCCAAAGTTAGCAAAGTTTCAAACCTGTCTGTGTGTAAAATTCGCATAATGACTGACTCGCTGCGTCACGGGGTAAGAGGGGGTTGGTGATTGGGGGTAACAGGGGGAGCGGAGTGGGCACAAGTCGAACTTCTCAAGTTGCAAACAAATATCGGTAACAGAGGCAGCAGCCGAGGCAGAGGATGCTGCAACAATGTGGCAGGAACTGAATTTATGAATTTGATTTTTGCCTGTCCTAAACCAACTGATGGTTATTTGTATACCCAGCAGCCATCAAATAGGTGTGGTGTTACTTAGCCGTAGACAGTATTCTAGACAAATTTCCGATTGAAAATTTCAAATTGAAATGCATTTTGCATTTGGAATAGAAACCCCTTTGCCAGCGTCATGTCCGACATTTAATATTCTCCCCTCGTTCACAAACTTTATGTCTGGCAGTTAAGAGGAGCTATCGCCTGGCAGATACATTTACGATACGAGATACAAAAACTATGATATTTGATTAAATGATATTTAATTATAAATAATTGTTAAAGTAACCTTTTGCTTAGCCCAAAAAATAGTATTGTTTGTAGTATAGTATAGCATTGTATTGTTTAAAGCTAGTAACATATTTTGCAACTATCGAAAATGTATCTTCCAGACGACTTTCTCGCTATAGCTAATTTTACTTAATGCAACCAAAACTGTGTTCAACTGGGTAACATTTAAAATACTAGGTATTATTTTAAGTGCAACTGCCAGGCAACTTCATACAAACTATCGCCAGGGAAGTTAAATAAGCGATAGTTATGTACAGTAAAAACGCTATTGGACGTACAGAGAGCATTCCGTTTTTTTTTGGACGCTCAAGATGATTGTCCGCCTAATGGAGGCCAGGTTAATAAAGTCCGTTAAAAAATGTTTAAAAAGATTTTCAAGAAATTAATAGGTGTGCTCGCTAGGTGAGGTATTACTGTATTTGAGAGTTGCGCAATTCGTGTACGCTTAAGAGGAGTGTCGTCCTAATAGAGTCGAGGTTAAAATGGTTAAAAATAGTTAAGGAGAGATTACTGAAACTATTTGCTGTCTCCGTTAGAATAGTTTCAACTGTATTTGACAGTTATTTTCTTATTTTTTATGTTTTAGGCAACTACAGGGTATTTGTTAGTTCTCTACTTGCTTCACACGCACCTATTTTCTCCTCGCTGTGCGGCGTCGTCAGGGCTGTGGCAGACGGCTTGCCGATTGAGTGCGGACTCTTGGAGTCATCCTCGCGTGAGCTGCGTGTGTCATGATCTGAGGGTGTTGTTGTATTGCTGTGACAGTTCAAATTGCTCGCTTTGCGATTGCTGTTGATGATGTTGTTGCTGTTGCTGTTGCTGTTGTTATTATTGTTGTTGTGATAAGCTGCTGCCAGAGCGCTGCTGCGACTGCTGCGCATGTGACTGCGCTGCTGCTGCTGCTGCTGTTGTTGCTGCTGCTGCTGCTGCTGCTGATGCTGCGTTGCCGCCGCGACAGCTGCGGCGCTTTGCAGCAAACGCGACGTCTTGGCGGTTAGATCCAGGCGATCCACATCGACGCCATCGAAGCCATACCAGCCGAGCAGCTCGTTCATGGTGTGCTGCGCGAATTCCTGGAACGAAACAGAAGCATAGCCAAAATCAATATTAACATATTATTGCGGGCATGCCAATTGTATGACGCAGATGACGCAGTTCGTCCAAATGCAGACACGGGACTAACTCGTGGCTCGTGTCATTCAATAGCCCTTTCAGGCCCTAGCCAGAGCGTGCCAGGTAGCTGTATCTGGCGGCAATTCAATACGACCTATATACCCTGCTTCTTGTTTTTCTTTTAGCCCTATCTACAACAGGTGCAGCTCACTGAGCCGCATAATTGTGGCTGCTTCTTGTTGCAGCAGCAGCCACAATGTGTTGCCAATGCGGTGGCAGCTATATTTCAACGATATTATCTGCTATTGTTAACAATATTTAAATGGGTATTATGAATTTGATCCAATCAATAGAACATCAGAACAGCAAACGCTCGTCTTGAGTTTGTTTTGTGAAATAACATGCATGATAAGAAAGATATATAGTGAAAGATAAAGAAAAGTAAAATGCAACAACTGCAATGTTACATAACGGGAATGTTTACATAACTTAATTCTGTTAAGATAACAGACGTGAACTACAGTAAGTTTACATAAAAGCACGCCCGTCACGTGTTGTTTTATTTACTTTGGTGAATTTAATGATTTAAGACCTAAAGTAAACGTTATGGGATGAAAAAATTAGTACTCAAAAAGCTCCCCTTATTGCTACTTTTTTCCATGAAAGGAGTCCATCTCTACCAAGTGCAGAGTTGCCCTAAATAAAATTTCAGCTTGGAAGCACGACCTCACCATAATTTTAATTTAAAAACTACTTACATGTACTTTATGAGGCTGACCCAGTCACAGACCATAATTAGCTAAGAACCTAATCTGAACTGAACTGAGAGATAGTATTGAGCAGAATATAGTTAAAGATATTCTGTTACTTAATTGAAAATATACGAAACTTCGTTACGTTCTTTGCAATAAAAGATTTATTAAAAAGTTTCCTTCATGCACGCAAAACCTGGGGTTAAAAATGTGGAGAACATAGTTTACGGCCCGAAGCGATTGATTTGAGCGGAAAAGCGAACCAACAGACATATTTTCAATGGACTTGCAGTCATTGCCGCAAACTATAAGATAAAATTAGATTAAAGAGACCCATCAAAACAATATGCTTGCCTGACGTAAGAGAACTTTTAATATGAAAATCATAAGAGATTAAATTAATTATTTTAATTAAATCATATTCTCAACTATCCGTAAAATTCGCTTAATTCTGTAATACTTTTTGCAGTATTTTTGGCAATTCCATACGACAGAAATAATGCGAAAATGTAATAAAATATTACTTGAAATCAATTTTGCCAAGTTAAGCAGAAATTTTATTATATAATTTTAGAGAAAATGCTTTAAAGTTGCCTTTAAAATAAGTTTTTAAATGAGTTTTAACGTTTTTCAATGAGCTGGGGCTTGGATTATGCCCCATTTGTAATTAATAACTTTGATGAGACTTGCGGCACACACACACACTCACACACACGTACAGACACACACTTAAGGATATCAACTAACACACACGCATCCGCAAAACAAAACTTTATAATGGAGGTAACGCAGGAGCTGCGGGTCTCAGGGGGGCTGCAGGGCAGCAGGGTGTGCGGGTTGCAGGTTAGTTGGAGAAAGGGCCAACATTCGCACATATAATCCTTCGTGTTGCTTTTGTTGCTCTTCGTTTCGCAATGGGATCTGCCTTTCGGCAGCTGCAGCAGGGGGAGGAGGGCGGACCCTTCGATGCTGGGCATGACATTGATATGCACTGTTTGTGTGTGTGTGTGTGTGCGTGTGTGTGAGTTGCCTTTCTGCATATAATACTGTTTTTAAACAAGTAGAAGTGTTTTAGTCGGATGTGCCTGACTAGGAGATGCCCTAAGCACAATGCATTTGAAATCGTTTGAGTTGCCCTTTTGCTTCTACTGTGCTTCTTCTTCATTTTAACTAACTCTGCATTCTTGAGTAACTCAAGTCTTTATAGTCCGATTCTTATGCGATTTTCAGGGCAAGCATATAGCAGCCATATAGCCATTCGATATCGATTTTTATCGATTACTTGGAAACGGGGCAAGTTATCGAATATCGGAAATAAACTAGATCTGCGCGGGGACTAGGAGGACCTACAGCTAAAATTTCAAGTTTTCAATTTTGTGGAAAATGCGGGGCCTACATACCAAGTTAAGTGTATTTAGCTTTTATAATTTTTGAGCTATGCCTGAATAGCTAAATTTTAAAATCGATATTTATCGATATTATCGAAATAGCAGCAGATATCGAAAAAGAATTCTTCTGCATGATATATGGGATAGTATATATTTTCAATTTAGTCTCTAGCAGACGATTAGACGGACAGGACAAAGCTACATTGACTTAGCTCGGAGCTGTTTCATTCTGTTTGTAACATACATTTGCACAGAACTATAATACCCCTTTACAATTTTTATAGGGTATTATTAAGCAACAATAATATGCGCCTCAAAAGACCGATCGGAGTCGGCGTCCGTTCAGGGACGAGTCGAAGTCGAAGCAAGGAACTGTTGCGGCTTTTGAAGTTAATTTCGGGTTTTCGTTTCTTGTTTCTTGAAATGAAACAAACCAAAATGATATATATATATATAGTACATGTGTGTGTGTGTGAGTGCATGCACACATGTGCAGTCTGTATGGACACAAAAATTTCACACAAGGCTACGCAACTGCATTAAGACGTATCAAATTACATTGAAATTCTCATATTCAAAGTCGTCGATGTTGTTGCTCTTTTTGTAGTCAAAGCGACGCATCAGCGCAGAGGCAGAGGTGTTGCCAATAAAAGGGGCAGGGGGTTGGTTTTTGAGAGGGTGATAGGAATTTATAAATGCAGAGCAGAGAATATGTGTACAAATTATTTAAGACTTGATTCTAAAGTAAGCTATTTGTGTAGTGTAGTGTATTAGGTTGTTTATTTATCTATCTATTTATTATAAATAAGTTCGATGATAGGAATGCTATTTAAAACTTCAAAGGATAAAAGGTACATACATATATACAACAAGAGTGTTGGTTTTGGCCACCTTTCCATTTTTTAATTAAAATATAAAGTAATATATATCATATAATATTTAATTAGCTGGAGCACTAGTCAGCTAATTAAATATTAACAAAAAAAAGGTCGCTAAATGCAACATTAAAATTGATATATTTCAATATAAAAGTCCATAAATAAAAACTTAAAGCATTTACAAGATTTGAAAAAACGATTGTATTTGATTATGTGAAAATTAATTATGAAAAATTTTTAAGTTGCTTTGCCCAAAAAAATAGTATTTGTTTGAAGCCTTGAACATATTTTGACCTTCAAAGCCGTTTAATACATAAATCATTAAAAAATAATAATTTCTTATGAATTCATTTTAATTGAACCCCTTGCTGACTACGCCACTGCATTCGACCGCAGCTCAGATTTACTGGGCAGGCAGAACATTTTTGGTGCTTCTGCGGAATGGTAAATTACTCATACGACATGTGGAAAATGTTGACACAAGCGCTGACAGCTTGAATGCGACATGCGACATGCAATTGTGGGCGTGGCTGCCGACAGACACGATTTCTCTTTCTTGTTATTGTTTTTGTTCTTTTGATTTTTTTGGCAAATCTTGGGCAACAATTAAAGGCAGGCAAATGGCGAATGAATCACTTGGACTGTGAAATCTATGCCAATGCTGCTAACTAGCTGCTGCTCAAGAGCTTGGCATTTGTTATGCGACACCCAGCGCTGGACACACGATATGGCCCACTGTGGCACAGTGGGCAAAAGCGATGCTAACTTGATGACAAAACACGCAAAGACACGTCTAATCAGCGGCGGCTGCACGTCGTCTGCCAAGTCACACGCTCGCTTGGCTCGGCCCCGCTCTGAGCCAAGTTGTTATTGTTATTGTTGTTGTTGTTGTTGTTGTGTCTGTGTAGGGTATTAACAATTCGCACGATAAAAATCTTGTGACTGGCTGCAAGGCGTATCGATTACACGCCTCAGGTGCGACCTCGTCGCTGAGCGAGCTGTGCACTGGTAGGTTGGTTGGCGGTACGGTGGACGAGGGGGGGGGGGGTCAGCATTGGGTATAGGGGGCTTTAGCATAGGCAGGAGACGCACGCCCGGCTCAAGTTCAGCTCTGGCTGTCGCAGCCACTCGCAGAGTCCGAGTCCAACTGTGCGGTAATCGGAGGCGCATTTGCTGTTAGCTCTTGGCATATCAATTCCACCTTTTGATAACTGCTCTCTCTTGCTCTCCCCCTCTCTCTTTTCTCTCGTCTAGCTATCTCGCTTTTTGTGTGCTTCTGTCTCTGTCTGTAGGTTTTTAATATCATTTGACTGTTAATTTATGTTTGGTTTTTAATTTCTGATTTGTGCGTTCGCTGGCAGGCAGCTGCCTTATCGGTAGGGGGGGGGGGGGGGGGGGGGGGTTTGGGGGTTATGCTAGGGAGGGCAGCCTCCGGCACAGATGACGACGACGACGACATTTAAACTTGCGCTTATTGCAAGCGCTGAAATTCTAAACCGCAATGCGAATAAAAATCAATTAATTAAAAAATGTAATTTTATGCTCTTTATTGTTGTTGTTGTTGTTGTTCTTCTTCTTCTTCTGCTGCTGCTGCTGGAGTTGTGAGTTGTCTGGCTTGTCCGTCTGTGTCTGTCTGTGAGCCTGCCCGTGTCTGTTATTTGCTCGTTTCCCGCCACATTTCCCCATCAACATTTCCATAATTAATGCTTAAAGTATCTGACAGATACAGTTGGCAATAGCAGCGCTCCTCTTATTTCACACACTCTTTCCCCCTCTCTCTATCTCTCTCGCTCTCTCGTTATCCCTCTCGCTCTGCCTGTTGAATTTCGCAAAATCTCAACTTACAAAAACATATCAGATTTGCGCTTTTATTATGAATCGCAAATGAACTGGAGCTGACTTGACGAGTGCTTTTTTATATTTTTATTTTCGAGTCCAGGTC